TAAAAAATGTGTAATAGGAAATATTTCCTAGAGCATGGTAAGTGCTCAGTGATCATTAACCATAATTATTATGTAAGTAGTACTGGGGTGGAAAAAGTCAATGTGTTTTTCACTTAAAATTTTAGTGTATAAATCATATAGGAAATCCTGGAAATACATCAGTAAGTAAGAACAAGGAAAGAAATGATGTCCATTCTCCTGACAGCCCTGAGAAAGGGACATCCTAACACATCTCATGTGACATACTGACTGGAAAGCTTGGGTGACAGGTTGATTTAAGATTTTCTTTGTTTCTGACCCTATGTGACTGTGGGACAATCCTTTAACCTCAGCTTTCTCCTCTACAAAGTGGGAACAATACCAACTGTCGTATTCAAAGTTTATGAGGTTCAGATGTCCTCATGGATCTTTCGTGTCCACAGAGCTGGCTTGGATTCTTGGCCCTGTCACTTATTAGCTTGTGCAACCTTGAGCACTTTTTTTTTAAACTGCTACCTCAGTGAGAGCAGTATACCAAGCACTCTGCAAAGTGATAGGCACAGGTGACGTGCTCCGTTAATGATAGCTGAAGCTGTGAGTTGCTTTTGCTTTGAACAACAGAAGGTGTATGACCCCATGATGATGATGATTATACGTTAGGATAAGTGGGATATTTTTCGTATATATTGAAATGTTACTTCTAGTTGCTGGCAGTAAGGCATAAACTTTGATTCTGTCCGCTCTCCTCTTTCATATGTGCTTTTCCAAGCGGCACACGTTAGAGGGAAGCGCTCAGTCCCTGGTGTTGATGTGACCAGCTCATCCCTTCCTTGTGGTCTGACACTGGCTGCCACTCTGGAATCTCGGAATTTTGAAATGCTCATGACTTCCCTCGTTTTCTTTCATCCTTCCAGCGAACCAGAGAACATTGCGAGTTCACAAGGCAAGAACAAGCACCCGGCTTCCAGCGTGTGTTGGAGAGCGGACTCCACAGGTTTTTTTGGCCCGTGGCCGACGGTGCTGCGGTGAGGAGGGCAGGGACCTGTGAAAGGTCACAGCCGAGCTGCAGGCGTCGGCGGCCTTTCTTACCGGGAAAGGCAGCAGCTGCAGCTTGGCGCGGTGTGGGCATGAACCGATATCCCCATTGCCAGAGATTGCATAAGCAAACGCACCTCTCCCTGCCTCCACCGAAGGAAAGTGTTGGAAGGCGGCACTGGGAAGTTTCACAACTGTCTCTTCTTCTATCCCATCCCTGAACTCATTAGCTTCCTCTCTTTGCTTCTGCCCCAATCCATCTCCTTGACAAGATTATTGTGAGGAAGGAGTTAATGAGTACACAGTTTTATTTTCCTTGGAAGAAAGAGAGAGAGAGAAAAATAGAGAGAGAGAAAGAGAGAAAAGGCAGGCTCAAAGCAGGGCTGTCATCACCCTGCAGGTCTTCAGGGGTTTTACAGGTAATTATTAACCCTTTGTGGCATTTCTGGAAAAAGAAACCTTTATGCTGAAGAAACCCACTAAGATTTTGCCTCTCTACATATATGAGTTACTTCCAAAGGCTCATGGAAAAAAACCAAAAATGGATTTCAAAAATAAGTTTATTTTAGTGCAAAAAGGCTTTGAAATCCATACACAGTCCTTTTCATAATACACATTTTCCAGGAACTCTTTGAAGAACCCTCCTTTGCGTGGAATCCAAAAATTTTTACATCAAAGTAAACTTATAATTCCATTTTCCATGAACTTTTTGAAATATGTTCAGATATGGACTTGCAGTTTTTGAGAGGTAAAATTGAACAACTTTTAAAAAATAAGGCCTAGGTATAAGTAATCCCCAAACCAAGTGTCCTTTATCAAAATGGATCTTTCCTAAACTCTTAGCATCCAGGTCAGAAGGCACCATTATCCCTGTTTACCACTTGAGAAAACTGAGGCTTAAAGAAAGGAAATGACAGGCCAAAGGTTGCATGGTAATAAGGCCTGGTGGGAACCCAGGGCTTCTGAACGCTGCCTCAGGGATCTTTTACTGTATCGAACATCATGTGCAATCTCTTCTAAAATTAAGAAATCAGTACTCCTGAAAACCAGCAGTGATCACCACTTAAAACTACAGCTTCCGCCTAAAAATCCAATCTCCTGAAAGTTAATTTACATTTTTAAAAAAGCCCTTGTGATCAACCTGCTTTCTTGCTTTTTTGTCATTTGCTTCTTTCTGCAATTCTTGTAGATTTCAAAGTATTTAGATGTCGTGTGCCCCTCTCTAGCAGTGTGTTTGCGATGATTAACTACTGGGGCTTCTGTATCAGAGAGAGACCTGCCATGAGTCGTGCTGGGGATTCGATTCCTGGTTGTCCTGGGGTTGAGTCTCTGCTAGATGAAAATGAACCAGAAAATCCAAAGTCCCTGAGGGACCCACTGCAGGAACATGAAATTATTGGAAATTATGAAAATGGCATTGGAGGAGAATGAGGCCCCCGAGTACTCAGACTGTCTGTTGCTGTGTGCTGAGTGGACCAGGACTCGCTCTGTGGCAAGCAGGGATGTAGTTTCTCTTAGTATCTTCCTTCTGCTGCTGCTACTGCTGGGGTCTCCCTGAGCTTGGATTGTGGCCACAGATGAATTCTCCCCTGAGCTGGCTATCACTGCTCCTAGAGCCCACACTCTCACTGCAGCCAGGGGCAGGTTGCTCGTATGTGGGCAAACTTCCATACATGGTATGGGGAGCAGACATGACTTCATGCTTTGCTGCAGACGAGAGGAACTGCCAAGGCTCAGGCGCCCCGTCCCCCAAAGTGTTCCTCAGCTTGGAATCCTTTTCTCTGGCTGTAGGGGAACCAGACCACAGGGGAAGCTTTTGCTCTGTGGGCACCCCTTTACCATGTAGATTCTCAAAGCCCGTCCTGCAGAACTCTGGACTCCCCAAAGAGCATCTCAAAGGTGCACCGTAAGCCTTTGGAAGACAGCTTACATTAAATAGCTGTTTTACAACACTGATAATGGGACAAACCTGAAAGGTAAATTAGGGTCAGCATTTACAGAGGTGTAGTCATTTATTATTTTGAATAAACAAACAGCTGCATATATTTTATTTTGGGGGTGGAGTGGGGCCTGATTTTATAATTTTAAGGAAATGGTCAGGGACATTTTCCATTACTGTTTTGTGTTCTCTGGTCTTTCAAAAATTTAACCACTGATGGAGGATATTGCCAATTTGAGGTATTTTAAATTGCACTCTGTTTGCTTATTATTATTATTTATCAAAAAGCATGAAAGAAAAGAGACATATTTGTTTTCATCCAGATGGAAGGTGTCTGTTGATGTGGATTACACATAAAACATAAAAGCTACATAAAATCTTGGTAGAATAGGTCAGGTACAGCATTTTTCTAAACTGGGGAATCATACTGGATTGATTTACACACATATTTGAGCACTGCCTTGGGCATCAGTGCTGAAATTGTGCAAAAAAAAAAGACAAAGAAAATAAGGCAGTATTTTCTGATAGCATGACGAATCAGAAGCAAGAAAAGGAGAAAACAAGGAGGGAGAGACAGAAGAAAGGCAATTAGTAATCACCGGACTACCAAGCCCAAACCCAGCTTTGGTTAAAGAAAAGAGGTGACCTCGTGGCTGAGGCAAAGTTTAGCACATTTAGTACATCTCAGTGGAGGCAAACTCTATAGATATGTCAACAATGAAAACAATTCTATTACTTTTAAAAATAGCCTTTTATTTTTATAACTTATTGCTTTGCTTTGCTTTTTCTTCCTAGGGAAGATCTTTTCATTTCCATAAAACACAAGTCAGATTTAACCTGGTGGAGCAAAGATTTGTTCAGCACACTTGCATTGCTTAATTTTCCTGACAACATGTGCAGTTATGTTACAAACTTGCACATTCTTGGGAAGGGATATGAGACACCGGCAAACCAAAATGCCCAGGGGGGCAGCTATATATTACAGTGCTAATCTTTTCCTCTCTCTCTCTCTCTCTCTCTCTCTCTCTCTCTCTTTCTCTCTGCATTTGCCTTACTGTTTCTGTGCACCGTCATCACACATGGCTACTGTCTTCTGACCTGTAAGAGCCACAGTTGGAAGTTTTGTAACATTTCTCCTTTTAAATCTCTCAGGAGTACTGTGTGGCTCCATATAAACTGGGTTTGGGCTCTGATTTTAAAAAAGACAAACCGACAACAATGATAAACAAGTCCTTTATCGAAAGCTGGAACATTTCCAGAAGTATCTTTCAACTTAACTAGGCAAGGAGCAGGGGGGCAGTGCACCTGCGACACTTGGTTTCTGCAGTACATTTTGGCACGCAAGGACATACTGCTGGATGTTGCTGGATGTTATACATCAAGAAGCAATCAGGGGCAGGAAGGAACTCCACGCTGTGCAAGGAGCAAGGGGGCCACCCCAAATGAAATAACTAGGATGTTCCAATCTGGAGGAAATGTGTGAAATTTTAAATCTCTCTTTGTTCCTGAAAAGGCACCTGACCAATGGGTGCCGGTTTGCTCTGAATCCCGAGTTCCAGTTTGCAGCTTTGAGGAGGAGGGCAGAAACCTCTGGGGCAGACAGCTCCAAAGCAGGGTGTCACCCTCTTAACCAACTTTCTCTCCGACCGGGAGTGTTATCTTGACGTCGCCTCCTCTTCTCAGCGCGCCTCCCCATTCTCACCTACAACCGCTACGTCGCCTTTAAGAGTCAGGGGACGCCCCTCTCTTTCCCCTCCCAGGCCCCCACCCTTCACACCTTGGGTGGGAAAAGAGAGTGGGGGCGGGGTGGCCGGCAACGCGGGAGGGGCGGGATCTTGGTGAGCGCTCCAATGGCCTCTGAGGATGACCGCCGTGGACTCCGGCAGCCAATGAGCGGGAGGCTAGGGGGCGTGGCGAGGCGCTGTTGCAAAGCATCCAACGTGGGCCGGCAGGCGGCCGCCGGGCGCGCAGCCGAGGGGTGTGTGAGGGCAAGCGGCCGGAGGCGGGGCCTGGGAGATCTAGCCGGGCTGGGCCGCGGGGAGGCTGGAGGCGAGCGGCTGATTGTTCATCCGCGAGGTCTGCGCGACTCTCGCTGCGCCGGGGAGCGGTGCGAAGCCCGAAACAGAGCGCGCGCGCGCGCGCTTCGCTCGCGCTGCTGGGACAGCAAGGCGCACGGGGTCCTCCGAACGCAGGGTTAGCCGCTCGGTCCAGCACGGGTTCTACAGCTGCGTGCCGGGAGCCACGAAGAAGATGCCCGCCGGCGCCGAGCTCCGGCTGCGAGGCTGAGCGCCTTCCTTCCAGCAGCGGGGGCAGCGGCACTTGGCCGTGCGCGGGGGCTCCGGAGCCGGCCCAGAGCGCGCCAGGAGGACGAGTAGCGGCGGCCGAGCACCCCTTGCCCGGACCTGTGGGGTCTGCGGAGAGCGCACGCGGGTCGGCCCGGATGGGCGCGGGGTTCGCGACCCCCGCCGGGCGCTGCGGAACGGCCCGGGCACTGGGGGCCCTCTGAGCGCCGACGCCGCGTCCGCGGAGAGAACTTGTGCGGCCGGCCATGCCCCGACGCGGAGCCTACTACTGAGGGGAGCCCCCACCGGGGCCGTGCGCGCCTGCACCCGCTCGGGACCTCGTAGTCCCCGCGCCCGGAGTTCGCAACGCGCTTCAGACAAGATGGCGCGGCCGGTCCGGGGAGCGCTCGGGGCCCCGCGTCGCTCGCCTTGCCTTCTTCTCCTGTGTCTGCTGCTGCTGCTGCGGCTGGAACCCGCGACCGCAGCGGCCGGCCCGCGCGAGCCCTGCGCGGCTGCCTGCACTTGCGCCGGGGACTCGCTGGACTGCGGCGGGCGCGGGCTGGCGGCGCTTCCCGGGGACCTGCCCGCCTGGACGCGGAGCCTGTGAGTGTGTCACCCTGTCCGCCCTCCCTGCGCCCCGGGACGCTGTCACTTGGGGACACTGGGCGGCAGGGGGTGCAGGTCGGGTTGTGTGTGTGGGAGATTTGGCATGGAGGTGTGGGGGAGCGAAGAGTGCGCCTCGGGGAGTCCGGCGGCGGACGGGCGTGGGTCGTGAAGGTTTGCAGATGAATGAGTGTGCCTCGTGGGCGGTCCCGGGGGTACACAGTTGAGGGTCTAGGTGGTGTGGGGTGCGCGAGCGCGCCAGGTGAGGGTGTGGAGGTGCGCGGGCGCGCGTCCCCGGGGTGGTCCAGGGCCAGCGAGGGAGAAGCTGGGAGGCTCGAGTTCGCGGTTTGGGCCGGGTGTGAGGGAGTGAGCGTGGGGTCTCGGGTCCGTTTCTTGTTTGCCCTCCTGTGTCAGCCATCTCTGGTGTCTTGAGCTCCTTGGTCTTGTGGACCAAGTGGGCAATGAATGAAGGTTGCGGCTCCCGTCTGGGCAGCCCCTTTCTGATCCAGGGCGGTCTTAGTGGCCGGCCTCGGATCCGGCTGGAGCAGGAGGCAGCCTTCCTCAGTGGAGGGCTCTGTGGATTCTCAGAGGTCCCTGAGCGCTGGGAGTGGGTCGTTTTCCGCCTTCTTGGCATTTTTAGGGAACTGTGTTCCAGACCCTTCTTGTCTGTCCTCAGGGCTCCGTTGGGCTTGGTGATCCCGGGGCGGGGGTGCCCCCCAGCCCCCCCGAGAGTCTCTCCTCCATAAATGGTGCAAGTTAGTTTTGGAGCGAGTGCCATGGGTCTGGCGGATTAGAGCAGTTGGCTTGACCTGAGGTAGGGTCTTTCCTGTGCTGTCAGGACTTAGGCCTATCAGGATTTAGTGGGGGGTGGGGTGCTTCTTGCTGGAGATTGGGTCCGAGAAAAAGACCTTAGACTTCTGTGAACGTGGTAGGATGGGAGGGCTGCCCTCTGCTTCTTGAAGATCCAGTTATCAGCAGTTCCAGAAAAGGCCTCGCTGGCATAGTCTTGCTTTTCGGTTGAGTGACTGGACCTCTTTCCTGGACTATAGAAGAGGTACAGCAGTCACCTCAGGCGTGACATTCATTTGTTTTAAAAAGAGAAAACCGGTGACACGTTTTAACCAACACCTGTGGCTTGAGAACACAGGCTGCAGCCGCGAGGGCGAGAAAAGTTCGTTCCTTTTACGTTGCAGCGCCTGTGTCTCTCACTAGTCTCTAACTTGGTCCACGTGACGGCCTGCCTCAGGAGCGAGAGCTGCAGAGTTCTGTTGCTGCCCAGGGCGGGTTACTGACAGTTAGGTTTGTCTTTGGTATCTGCTACTTTGGCGCCGGAAACTCAGTGAAAGTTTGGTGGCCACAGGTGGGTTTTCGCCCAGGCAGTGGCTGTAGGAGGGCTACGAGATGAAACTTAGCGGTTATTGGATTGCAGGCAGCCTGGGGTGTTGAAGTTTTTCCTTTACGTAATTAAGCTTAATTTTGCTTTTCCCCACTACATAGAATCACGTGGACAGAATCAGAATAAACTCTTAAGCGTTCACCTGTTCAGCCGGTGCCCTATGTCTGTGGCGTTGTAGGGAAGGCGCTTAGTTCCAAAGTGGTAACTTCCTGGAGAGGACGGGGTGTCTTTTTATTTGCACTTTTCTGTGGTCATAAGTCCTACTTTGTGTTGCCAGTCTTTGGCGCAGAACACACTGGTTGTATTTTAGGGTTCCTGGAAGTACCTTTTCACATGGCTTCAAATCATTTAAAATTGCCGTGTTTTCTGTTTTACACGTTTGATCATTGGTAAATATCTAGCCAGGAATTTTGAGCTTCAGGAGACTTGATGATATTCATTAGGTGTTAACTTTAGATTTTAAGGTGTGAGCAGTGTGATTTCTGGACAGTACGTGACAACACTTCACATATGAAATGGTTGTCCTTTGAAATATATTTGTGAGGGCGTTTTATTTTTGAACAAGGAAAATCTAGCAATTTTTTCCCCCTGGTCTTCAGGTTTACTGAATTTAAACCATCAGTGTTATCCTGAAATGTCCCTAAGGGTGTATCTGACTTACATTTCTGGCTATGATAGAGCAAGATTTGAGGGGAAAAAGTCTTGGTGTATAATTTAAGAAAATAACTTGTACTTTCACCAAGTTGTTTCTAGGAAATGTTTTGAGCTAGTTTATAAGCCCATGAACTAGATTTACTGCAGCTAGTTCAAACAATTTCAATCTGTGGGTTTGAGATAGCAGGGGACCTGTGACTTTATGAATTTTTTTTTAAGCTTTTGTTAATGGTGCATCTAATTTTGGAGTTGTTCTTAGGCCTGGCATAAGGAAAGTAAAACATTTTAATAGTGAATGTAAATGCAGTGTAAAAAGATGAAAAGGGATGGCGCTGATAGAGGGGGAAATAGGTTGATTCCTGGGGCCTAGGAGGGCTTATTCAGCACAGTAACTTATAGTTGTAATGGTCCAGCACAGCTGAGTCTCCCATCACCATTACGTAGGTGAGATTCGCATGGTCCAACCAACACGTTCATAAATAGCACCATGCACTGCCAAGCCTTATTCCAACTTCCCAGAACCTTAGAAGAAGTTGCACTTCCTAGAATTCAGACGTTTGCTTTCTTTGAAATTATTTTCAAGAGCCTGGCTTCAGAATCTGGAAGAATTACTAAATTCAGTCACCTTAGATGCTCACCTGGGATAAATTTGAGTCACAAAATATTACCAGCTGAAACGTTGTCAGATGGCCTGTTGGGTCGTGATGGGGCGGGCAGGCAGGCAGCCCCTTAGGGAGAAACCCTGATTCTTGTTCTCACTGGAGGGGCTTTCAAAAGCCAGGCCTTTCACAAGGGGACCCCAGATGGGGAGGTATCCCAAGCCACATGAAGGTGAGTTACTGATTTGGGTCTCTGTAGGATGTGTCTGTAGCTGAAATCTGCCCTTGCTGATGTTGGCGTGTAAGTGGTGCTTAGGGTTCCATTACAGAATAAACACAGACCTCTTTGCCATTGTCCTGGTGAGGCCAAGAAGGCCTTTGTCTTGCAGATTTTACAGCTGTGCTCCTAGGCCCAGGTGTGCAGGGTGCTGTGAATTAAGGGTTGGGAAAACACTTCCCATCCTGTTGATGCAAATTAGATTTCAAGTGCAGGTGACCAAATTGTTCCAGAACCTAAACTGAAGTTCCTTATTTTTATTTTTTAAATGAAGTACACAGATTGTTGTCTGGAACAGCCTTCTGCCCAGATTTTTTTGTCTGCATCACTTCAGAAGAGCCCAGCAGTCCTTGAACATCTTCAGATTTGTGGGCCCTGCCAGAGGTTTTTTTCCAACTAGGGAGTGGGGGGCGGAATCTGCATTGAGTCCCATGCTCAGGGGGGAGCCTGAGCTGAATCCTTTGCAACAGGTGTTAGAAGGCTGGCGTGACTTCCCTCTCAAGGCTGGTGGAAAACGTGTCTGTTGCTGGTTCTCTGTCTTTAAAGTAGAGGATTGTGGCAAGTAGCAGTGATTGCCCTGAGAGAGAGGCTCGCTGTGGAAGTCCTGCTGCTATGCAGTTAGGCCCGTAACATTTCAGTTTTGAGACCTGTGCAATTAGGAAGTGTCCAGAGAACGCCATTGTGGACCCTGGACTGCCACACAGTGTCTCTGTTGCCTTTAGGACTTGTCAAAGCCATTGCTGCCTCCTTTTCCAGAGGATCCTTTCAAAAAGAAGTGTGTTCATCTTATTGTAATTACATGTGGTTACTGCATTTCCCAAACTTGAAGCTTTTAATGTGCTACCGGGTCCTTGGGAATACCTTAAAAAGGATGTAGAAAGTGTAGTGGAGTGTGTGCCAGCAGGCTTCTCGTGGCTGTCCCTGTGTGTGTCCCCGCTCTCCAGCCCCCTCCCTCCAGGGTTAATTCCTCCGCTTGGGTTCCTGGGCAGCTTCTCTGAGCTCACGGGGAAGGCCTCTGGCTGACCTTTCTCTCCCTCAGACACTGCTCACAATGGAAGGGCCTCTCCCCTATTCTGCAGAGGTGTCTCCTTGGTGCCAAGTCTTTTCAGCATCCTCTCTTTCAGGGTGGACAGGAATGCGGGAGAGAGCACTAGGGTTTTGTGTGCCTTAACAATGCACCTGGCCCAGTGTCTTGCACCTGCTAAAGCCCTGAAGGTCTGTTCTGTGGGAAGTCTGCGTGGAGATTGTGGAAAATAGCCTATGGCAGGAGAGAGAAATCAAGAAAAGGAATTCACTGACTTGAAAGTTGCTGTAAGCAATAAAGGATGTTGGTTATACTAGGGTCTTTTTTTTTTCTTCTTATGTATTTGAAACATTAAAGAGATTCCTATGACTTACCCCATAGTTGAAAGAACAGTAAGTTTCAAGGCCATACCTAACTTTCAGCTTCTTTTGAATGAGCTTGGTGACATTTAGTCACTGGGGACCTTCCCTCTCCGCAGTGACTGCAATTTGCAACCCTGGGGGTCTCTGGGCTGTGTTAATATTCAGAGCTGTTTACAGTGGATGCGGCTTCCAAGGCCCAAGGCATTGTCTTGAGACAGAATCTAGGAGAGAAGGAAAATTCCCAGGCAGAGGAGAGCAAATCCCTGAAAGTCTCAGATGCTCCCTGGCCTGTGGGAAACTTAGGCACTGTTGGTGTTGGTTTTTTTATGTAAGCATGGCATTTGTGCCATGAGGTCCACCCCATTGCCTCATGGCTTCAGTGCCTAGATATTACGAATGTGATCATCTTCTGCTTTTGTTTCAAGTTAACTGACAGGAATCAATAAGAAACTCAGATTTATTGTTGTCTGCTTTGCAAAAAAGAGCACTTTGAAGACCAGAAGTTAAAATTTTTATGATAGTCTATCCTCTGGAACCTGCGTAATGTTTTATGCCCAAAGAATTTTATATAGCTGCCGAGTATAGCTGTCCAGACTGGCCACTTTCTCGGCCATTTATGTGGCCATTTATGTGGCTGAGAAGTTTTCTGCTGCAGAACTTGACACACGGCCATTGTCGTCATCAAGCA